CCGAGGGACTAACTTCGGGGGCCGTACCTGCGTCTGGAGAGGAACCTACCAGAAGGAACAGCCAAAGTGGCAAGCCCCCATCTCCCTTGGAGCCACCTCCCCATGACCCTCCTGGAAGCAGCATCTCAGAAGCAGTGGTCCCCTCCCTGCCCCCCTTGCCCCCCCCCCACCAGGAAGCAGAGCCAGAGCCTGGCCCAGGGACCCTTGTGTGGAGGGGTGGGCCCCAGTCTCCTCTTCCATCCACCACCTCGGGGGACAGCCCACAGCATGCACGCGTTCTCGCTGGCAGTGCCAGTCCCCCCCAGGAGCCCACCCAGGAGCCCCCCAAGTGGTCCCTGCAGTGTGGGCCGCGAGCAGGGTAGTCTGTGCACACGAAGGGCGGGCAGGCCTGCAGCACACAGCGCTGTCATTTCAGGAATGCCTTTGATCTGGGGTTTGTGCAGGGGGAACGCAGGCCCAGGAACTCTAATCCGTTCCCACAGTCCCCTGGACCACCCACCCGCGGGGCCCCCAAGCCCTGGCCACACCGACAACAGTCGACGGCGGTGGGCGGGCGGCTTCCAGGGCTGCTGGCCTGGGGGCCCAGCATCCGGGGCATTGTCACGGCTGCTCACAGGATCGGGGAGGAGAGCCTAGGCCGGCTGGTAATGGGGAGGCTCCACCAGCCCTGAGCCTGGGAGAGACGAAGGCCCCCAGCCCTCCGCGCTCACCTCCCTCTGGCCAGACGAGCCTTTCAGCTGGCCGCCACTGCTGGAGCAGAGTGGTCGAACCAGGAGGACTTCACGTTCTGGAGGGCAGGCCTGGCCATCTGCTCCCATAAAGATTACAGCCTAGGAAACCCTATGGGGCAGTTCTGTCACATGGGGTCACCATGATCAGAATCAACTTGACGGCTCCCAACAGCAACAACAACCTTACTGAAGTAGATCGCCAGGCCCTTCTTCCACAGCATGAGCACAAGCATTTGCACCACCCACCCAACGCCATCAGGGGCAGATAAAAGCAGTTAAAGTTGACTCGGCAAGCACTGTGCACCAGGCAAGGTACATAACGCCGAGCATACGGTTTCTCCCTGAATCTTCAAACAGCCCCTGGGTTGGTGGCAGGCACAGCTCCAGGCCGAGATGCTGGGGAACAAGACAGACACAGCCCTGCCTCACGGAGCCTGTATTCTCATGGGTGTAATTATCCCCATCTTCTAGGTCAAGGTCGACACACTTCTGTGGTAAAGGACCAGACAGTAAATGTTTTAGGCTTGGGAGGCCATGCAGTCCCTGTTGAAACTCCTCAACTCTGCCACTGTGGCAGAAAGCAGCTGTGGACAACATGTCAATGAATGATCGTGGCTACGTGCCAATAAAACTTTATTTACAAACACAGGCCAGAGGCCAGATTTGGACTGCTGGTCTTAGTTTGTTGACTACTGTTGTAGATGAGCAAACCAAGGCCCTGAGGGTTATACATGCAAAAGCTGGACAGTGAATAAGGGAGATCAAAGAAGCATTGATGCCTTTGAATCATGGTGTTGGTGAAGAATATTGAATGTACCAATGAGACATGTTATCAGGAGGGACCAGTCCCTGGAGGATATCATGCTTGGTAAAGCAAAGCGTCAGCGAAAAAGAGGAAGACCCTCAACGAGATGGATTGACAGAGTGGCTGCAACAATGGGCTCAAGCACAGCAAAGATTGTTAAGGATGGCGCAGGACCGGGCAGCGTTTCGTTCTGTTGTACACAGGGTCACTATGAGTGGGAACCCACTCAATGGCACCTGACAACAACAGAAACAGAGGCAGGCTCCATTTAGGCCAAAGAGAACCCGAACAACCGCCTCATGAAACTTTGGGTTCAAGCAATGCTCAGGCCCTCGGTGCCTCGTCAAGCCATTGGCAGGCTGCTCGGCTCAGCTGTACGCCCTCATGACGCCCTTCATGAAGTGGGGACAGAAGCCCTGCCCCGAGAGCCAGTGGGGCAGTGCAGTGACAAGGGGCGTGAAGAGCTGGCCACCAGCAGCCGCTCGGTGATCGGAAGTTCTCATCCCGTTGTCGCAGTAAGAAATAAAATGTGGCCTTGTTCTCAGACGGCCCTCTGGCGATTCGTCAGATACCTATCTTTGGCTCCCACTGGACTCTGCTCAGAGAAGGTAGTTCCAAAGTGGTAAAGCCTCAGTGGAGAACGGATTAACCTTGCCTATTCTTGTTGGACAAATCTGCTGCAAAAGACCTCTTGAAAGTGTTGAGAAGCAAAGATGTTACTTTGAGGACTAAGGTGCACCTGACCCAAGCCATGGTGTTTTCAATTGCCTCGTATGCATGTGAAAGCTGGACAATAAATAAGGAAGACTGAAGAAGAACTGATGCCTTTGAATTATGTTGTTGGTGAAGAATACTGAATATAGCATGGACTGCCAGAAGAACGAACAAATCTGTCTTGGAAGAAATACAGCTAAAATGCTAGAAGCAAGGATGGCGAGACTTTGTCTCACGTACTTTGGACATGTTATCAGGAGAGACCAGTCCCTGGAGAAGAACATCTCGCTTGGTAAAGTAGAGGGTCAGTGAAAAAGAGGAAGACCCTCAACAAGACGGATTGACCCAGTGGCTGCAACAATGGGCTCAAGCCTAACAATGATTGTGAGGATGGCGCAGGACCGGGCGGTGTTTCGTTCTGTCGTGTATCGGGTCACTGTGAGTTGGAACTGATTCAAAGGCACCTAACAACAACAAAAACACTCCCAATTACCGATATCCTAGAAAAATAAAATGAAACAACTTCCAACTTGACACGGAAATGGCTTTCTTTGCTCCTAAGCTGGGCTAAGGTCCGTCCTGGCAGCCTCAGGCAGGCTGGTACATATATGCTGGGCACTTCCGGCAGGAAGGACAGGGTGGCCAGGGCCTCAGGGACACATGGACACCCCAGGAAGGGACCAAATCCAACCCAAAAGGCTCCTGAACCCAAGGCCAATCTGGACCGAGGGCGGGGTCCGTGAGAACTAGCCGGATGGGATAGGACAGGACAGGGATGCTTTCGTCTGCCAACAACAGAAACACGACCCAGATGACTGGCGACACTTGGGGCAGCTGTCGGCTCTTCTAGTATGAAGTCCACGGCAAGGCAGGCTCAGGGCTCAGTGGCGTCACCAAGGACCCAGGCTCTTCCCAGCCCTCGGCCCCGACAGGCTCCGTGCGGCCTCACCCTCAGCCTGGTGCCGAGCTGCCGGCAGTGGGCCCGAGGTCACACCCCAATGGGTCGGCGTCCACACACAGCTTCTCCTTCTTAGGAGAGGTGTGGCCTTTCCGAGCAGCCCCCAGATGACATCCACTAACATCTCAGTGGCCAGAACTGGTCACATGTTCATCATGGGCCCATCGCTGGCGAGGAAGACGGAATGGTCTCACCTGGGTAGGAGCATCACCCGGGGAGAGTGGGCGTGGCTGGCATCTGTACCATGATCCAGGGGTCTGTCTTGGGCGACCGAGGGAGACAGGGAGCTGGTGTCATCTGTGGGAGAGGCTGAGACACAGCATGGGGGGTGAGGGAGGGAGGGAGGTTAGTCATGACGGCTGAGAGGTGGCTGGGGTGGGGGCCAGCAGGAACGGCGCATTTCCTAAACGTCTCAGGGGTCCATTCTCTACAGTAACTGTCTTGTTGTTGGGTGCCGTCAAGTAGATTTCAACTCACAGCGACAGAGTAGAACTGCCCCACTCAGTTTTCCAGGCTGTAATCTTTATGGAAGCAGATCACCAGGTCTTTCTCCCCGATCTGCTGGCAGGTTCCAGCTGCCAACCTTTTGGTTAGCAGCCAAGCACTTAACCACTGCGCCACCAGGACTCCTACAATAACTGCTTCTGAAAACCAGCTGCTGTCAACTGGGACTCATGGCGACCCCACGTGTGTCAGAGCAGACCTGCTCCACAGGGTTTTCAAAGGCTGGTTTCTTGGAAGTGGATCACCAGGTCTTTCTTCTGAGGCACCTCTGGGTGGACTCAAACTGCTAGCAGCCCAGTGCATTAAGATTGACACCATCAGAGACTCCATAACTACTTCTGTTGTTGTTGTTGGGTGATGTGGAACTGATTCCGACTCACAGCACCCCGTGTGACAGAGCAGAACTGCCCCATAGAGTTTCCTAGGGAGCCCTGGTGGCGCGGTGGTTAAGAACTCAGCTGCTAACCAAAAGGTCGGCCAGCTGCTCCTTGGAAACCCTATGGGGGCGGTTCTACTCTGTTCTACAGGGTCACTACGAGTGGGAATCAACTCGACGGCAACAGGGTTGGTTCGCATTTAATCTTTGCGGGAGCAGATCGCCAGGTCTTTCTCCTGCAGAGCAGCTGGGTGGGTTCGAACCACCAGCCTTTCAGTTGGCAGCCGAACAGCATTTAACTGCTGCGTCACCAGGGCTCCTACTTCTAGGCTGTGCTAATGAGGCATGTGGGCACAGACGGGAACAGTGGGCCCCATGGGGCACCCAGATCCCAGACACCCTGGAGGAAGGAATGGACTGGAATTTGCATTATAAGCGTTCCAGACAGCCTTCTGCTTTAAAATACGGTATTTATTTTCTTTTCCAACTATAAAAATGATACATCATCAAAGCAGGTAACTTGGAAAACACAAACATGCACCAAGGAAAACGACAACAAACCCCTTGTAACCCCACCACCCAGAGACCAACAAGCCAAGTCAGGAGGGCACCTTGCAGGCAGCGGGCCAGACGCACGAGGGCAAGGACACAGGACACCGCGGCCCACGCCGAGACAGCTCAGCGGGAGACGCTCGCATTGCGGCCTTCAGAAGCCCAAGCCGCCCGCGCCTCGGCCTCGGCACCAGGCAAGGCCCACGGAGCCAGAGGAGGGAGGTGGCACGGCCCCGCCGGGTGCAGGCTGTCCGCCTCCCCACTGTGAGGCATGCTCACTGGGAGTCAGAGCCGGCATTCCAGAACAACCTGACAGACAAGCTGGAGTGGAGTCGAGGCTGAGCTCTGACGTCTGGCTCGGTGCTTTCAGACAGGCTCTCGGACGGGAGAGGCGAGGAGGGCCATGCGCAGAGTAGCAGGTGGCCCTGGGGATGGCCCCTGAACTCGTGGAGGGTGGAGCAAACCGTCCAGCTCACCTGTCCCTCACTGCAGACAGGTGCCTTTCAATACAAACACAAGAGCGCTCATAGAAAGGGAGAAGCCAGGGTCCCAAACCCAAGAGCTTCTGCCTTGCAACAGCACCTAACATTCAGTCTTGGACTCAAAATCTTTCTCCCTTAGCCACGTTCTTTTTTTTTAAATTCGTGGTTGTTGTTGAGAATACACACAGCAGAACATACACCAATTCAACAATTCCGACATGTACAATTCAGTGACACTGATCACATTTCTCTGTTTGTGCAACAATTCTCACCCTCCTTTTCCAAGCTATTCCTCCCCCAGGAACACACACTCACTGCCCTCTGAGGTTCCCATCTAACCTTTCGAGCTGCTGTTGTCAACCTGATCCCATATAGATCTCAAAACAACATAATGCTCAAGGCAGTCATTCTTTACTAGTTAAGCTAAACTACTGTTTGGTTTTAAGATGACTTCAGAGGGTATTTTTGGTTTAAGGTTTAAAGATCCTCTCAGGGCAGTAGTCTCGGGCTTGACCGTGTTTTAAAGGACAGGTGTGAAGGGCTGCTGCAGGCTCCCTCGGGCCAGGCTGGCCTCGTCCTCTCAGCGATGTCCAAATAACTGGCCGCACTGGACTCCCGTGAGCGCCACCAAGCACAGCAGGAACCAGACTCTCCCCAGTGCCATCTGGAATGCGTGCCGTGCCGGCCTGTGCATTGTCCCAGAGGCGGCGGCGTTATCACCCTGGTCTGGACATGGGAAATCAAGCTCTGCACCAGCCGATCCCCCTGCGTCTCAGCCTCCTCGTTTGTTGAGTGGGCCCCTGAAGTGACTAAGTCAAGCCTGGGCAGAGGCATGTGCCACAGGGCCTGACACACAGGGGGGCTCAGTAAGGCCACAGCGACTCCCCAGTTTCGTCTTTGTTCATCTGTCATCCTCAAAATGAGAGTCCAGAACCTTCCGTGCTAATTTTAAAGTCCGGCTGAACATTTAGTAATGAACAAAGCTGAAAACACAGAAGAAAAAAGGATGGTATTTTTAAATCTTGAGTGTTTTTACTCACAAATTAGAACATAACTCTTGTTTCTAACTGCAGCTTTTCTTGTCTGTTACCTACTGCCTCAGTCATCTAGCGCTGCTATAACAGAAATCCCACAAGTGGATGGACTTAACAAGGAGAAGTTTATTCTCACAGGCTAGGAGGCTAGAAGTTCGAATTCAGGACACCTGCTCCAGGAGAGGCTTTCTCTCCCTGTCAGCTCTGCAAGAAGGCCCTTCAGCTTCTGTTTCCTGGTTCCTTGGAGGTCTCCATGTGGATCTTCCCCCACCTCTCCCTTTGCTTGTTTCATTTCTTTTATATCTCAAAAGACTCAAGACACACCCCACACTAATCTTGTCTCATTAACATAACAAAGACAACCCATTCCCAAATGCAATTATAACCACAGGCAGAGAGGTTAGGATTTACAACACATATTGTTTTGGGACACAATTCGATCGATAACATTCCACCCTTTCACTCCCCCAAAATTCATGTCCTTCCCATATGCAAAACAAAGTCACCCCCTCACATCATCCCAAAAGTCTTAACTCCAAGTCAAAATCTCAGCGTCTGAATCATCTAAATCAAATATGGGTAAGATGTTAGGCATATTCCATCCTGGGGCAAAAGTCCTCTCCATCTGGGAACCTGTGAAATCTAGATTACAGGTTATCTGCTTCCAAACTACAGTGGTGGAACAGGCACAAGGTAGGTATTTCCACTACAACAGGGAGAAACTGGAGGGAAAGAAGGGATAAAGGGCACCAAGCAAGTCCAAAACTCAGCAGAACAATTTACATTAGCTCTCAAGGCTGGAAAATAATCCTGTTCTTTGGGACCATCTGTGCAAGGCCCCACCCTCCAGACTCTGGGTGTTGGCTACGCTCTCTGGATTCTGGGTGGAGGCCCCTCAGCCCTGGGCTTCAACTCAGCCTTCCGAGCCCACTGGGAAGGCAACTCTGCTCCCTCGGCTTTGGGCGGCCCCATTCTCCTATCTATGAGTGGTGACCCCACCCCCTCGGCCCTGGCAGGCCCGATGCACTTGGCCAAACTGAATGGCAGCCCCACACTCCAGAACCGAGTTGGTGAAGATCTGACTCTGAAACCTAGGAGGCTATGGTTCTACCCTTTGACACCCCAGAGGTCATGGCCCCACCCTTTGACACCCCAGAGGCCACAGCCCCACCCTTTGAGACCAATGCAGCTCTGCTTCCCTCAGTCCTTACAACAGTTCTGCTGATCTCTGAGCTGCTCCAGGGATGGTTCTTTTCTTTCCTTGGAGGACAACAGATGTAGCTCCTTTGGCCTGTTTCCTGCCTGTAGAATTCCAAGAGGCAGACAGCACTCTCTCCTTTCCTTCTTTCTCTGTCCCCTTCCGTCTAAGCTGATGGGTTTTCTGTTGTGGTCGTTGGTTAGATCAGTCAGTTACAGGCTTTATCTCTTTAACAAAAACCCATGTAGCCACGTCCTTGTCACCAATTCTAGAGCATGTGTCCTTAGTTTGTACAAGAGAATTTTCCAAATCTTTAAGTTCTGTTTTCATTTTGCACAGTTCATTTTTAAGTCCATCTCTTTCCTCTCGCATTTTCCTACAACTGGCAAAGAGAAACCGTACGGCCCCTTTAAGATCTTGCTTAGAAATCTCCTCAGCCAGATATCTAAGTTCATCACTTACATGTTCTCCCTTCCACCAAACATCTGAACATACTTCAAGACAAGTTCTTTGCCACTGCATAAAAAGCATCGCTCTTCCTTCACTGTCCAATCACATGTTCATCATGTTCTTTTAAAGCCTCATCAGAAGCACATTTAACGTCCACATTTCCAGCAACGTTCTGTTGCTGGCGCCATATGCATTTTCTAAGACCACAGACTTTCTCTCTAGCTCTCCTCACTTCCCTCTGAGCCCTCAGCAGAACTGCCTCTGACGTCCATGATTCTACCAACTGTCTCTTCAAGGCAATCTAGGCTTTTACCATCAGGCACCTTAAAACTCTTCCAGACCCCACCCATTACCCGATTCCAAAACTGCATCCACATTGTAGGTATTTGCTGGAGCGGCACCCTCGCTTCTCAGTGCCAAATTCTGTCTCAGTTATCTAGGGATCGTTAACCATAGGCATGGAGGTTAGGATTTACAACATATTTTTGGGGGACATAATTCAATCCATAGTACCAACCATCAGGTAAGCTCTAACACCTGCTCTCTAGCCAGTTTTCACGCTTCCTGAATTGAGACACACAAGCTATTTACTTCTATTGACAATTCGTACAGCACATGCAGCCCAAAGGCCATTAGCAAAGTGCACCCCGAAGGCCCGGCCAGCTAGGTCTCAGGGAGGCACACCCCAGTGCTTCCATCGAAAAAAAACATGTGTCAAACAAACCTGTTTAAACTTCCCTCTAATTTTGTCTAAGTCTTCATGGAGTTTATCGTAAGTAGGGTCGTCATAAGGGAATTTCTGAATCATTCCAATCAACGATTCTAAGACCTTCATCTTTTTGCTGTAAAACACAAAAAGGAAGACTTTAGTTCTGGCTGCACACAGCCTCTCCTTATGCTACAACTATGCTGGTCACTTACTTAAAGGCAACGGGTGTGCTAAGAACACCTCAGATCATAAGCAGGATGATTAAGTTTTTCACTACACAAAATAATGTTTATTTACCTAGAACATGCTTTCGTCCACACCCAATGCCTCAACATCAAATGTGGATCTACATCAAATGCATATCTACATTTGAGTGACTGGGGCAACCCAGGACAAGGCCGCAGACCAATGGTTCTCTGGGTTGCGAGCGTGGAGACAGACAAAACGGGGCAAGGAGAGTGGCTGGGGCAGAAAGCGGCCTGCTCTGAGCCTGGACATTTTCCAGGGTTTAGAAACTTCATGTTCATGGCCTTTGGGAGTTCAGCTGCGGGTCTGAGCTCAGTTCCCGTTCAAGTGAGACAAAGAGCTCTACTGGGGAGGCAACAGGGTCCTGCAGAAAGGGAGGGGTGTGCTGGCCTGGTGCTGAGTGACTGAGCTTCCCCAAGCCTCAGTGTCCTCATGTCAAATGGGGACGGTAACAGCGGCCTCACAGGATTCCAGAAGGACTAGATAATAGACGTGAAGCCCAGAACACAGTGGAGAACAGGTGCTCGGTCAGCACCAGTCTCCGTGCTTCCACCGTATCCTGGAAATCAGAACTCTTACCGTGGAGATCTAAAGACTATCCACATATGTGTGCACACCAGGTGGGGCCCTGATCTTCTTAATGCAACAGAGTGATCACAAAGAGCGCCCCTCCCCTACAGCACACCTGACCGTCGGGAAGGTAGGAGTATTCTAGATACCGGTTCGTGGGGATTTCAAAGGACAGCAGTGGTGGTTCAGTGGTAGACTTCTCGCCTTCCGTGCAGGAGACCCAGTTCAATTCCCAGACGAGGCACCTCTGCACAGCCACCACCCAGATGTCAGGGGAGGCTTGTGTGTTGCTGTGATGCTTAACAGGTTTCAGCAGAGCTTCCAGACTAAGACCGACTAGGAAGAAAGGCCTGGTGATCGACTTCCCAAAACCCCATGGATGACAACCATCCAATCCACAGCCCATCGTGGGGATGGTGCAAGACCGGGCCGCGTTTCTTTCCACCGGGCATGGGGTCGCCACGAGTCCGGGCCGGCTCGACAGCAGCTCACAAGAACAAGCCTTAGCACGAATCAGCGGTAATTCTAACCACCAAGCCCTCCTGAGTATGTGCTGCTATGTGGTGTCTGGGACACAGAGAAGAGTAAGGAGGTCCCTGATGGCAAACCAGTTTCCAAGAAGAATGACGACTAACTCAGAAAACACAAACTCTGAGGGGCCAGAACAAGTTCAGCAAAGCACCAACGCCGGGAGATGGAGGGCAGATGCCAAGATGTGTCCTCACAGGATGCGAAGAATACCACCCATCCGCAGCTTTGGAAGCAGGGACTTATTCTTCGCCGGCCTGGTCCACAGCACCCAGCCGGCTGTGCAATCACAGCTGGCAGAGAACAGCTCACAGCCGATGTAATGTCAGTGCCAGACCGTTAGAGCTTAGTCCTGGCCAGGTGCTGATCTGCCACTCGGCTTCCACCGGGCTGCTGCAAAGGGGAAGAAGCGCCTCGCAGAGGTTATCCACAAGCCGCAGTGACTCGATTTAAAGCACCATCCTTCAGCCTGAGCTACTGCTCTCTGTGGTTTCTTTGGTGTGAAATGCTCATTATTCTACTGAGAATGCAGGTGGCAGGTGTTGGGATGCTAACAACCTTATCTAGAAAAATAAAAAAAGTAGAAGATCCTGTACCAGCCCTCTACCAATCTGAAGAAAGTATCCAGACAAGGAAGACCAGTGAAGGAGTGACACTTCTGAACCGTGGTGTTGGCAAGAAGTGAACATACCACGGGCCTCCAGAAGGACAAACAAAGCTGTCTGGGAAGAAATACAGCCAGAACGCTCCTTAGAAACGAGGATGGTGAAACTCTCTCTCACGTACTTTGAACACGTTATCGGTAGGGACCCGTCGCTGAAGAAGGACATCATCCTTGGTAAAGTAGAGGGTCAGCAAAAGAGAGGAAGACCCTCAACGAGATGGATGGACACAGTGGCTGCAAGAATGGGCTCAAACATAGCAATGATTGTGAGGATGGCGCAGGACCGTGCAGTGTTTCGTTCTGTTGGACGTGGGGTCACTATGACTTGGAGCTGACTCAATGGCACCTATTGCTATTGAGTTGATTCCGACAGGGTTTCCAAGGAGCAGCTGGTGGATTCAAACTGCGGACCTTTTGGTTAGCAGCCAAGCTCTTAACTACCGTGCCACCAGGGCTCCTCAACAGCACCCACGAACAACAATCCGTGAATCACTGCTGTCTGTAAGATAAAGGCTTTTAAGTGGTGTTCCCAAGAGACCCTGGGCCACTGCTGCTGGGTGGGGTGGGGGTAGCGGTGAGGTGGGTCTGGCTGGTTTCCTCATCAGCATCATTTCTTCAGTCTGACAATCCCTGCTCTGGCTCAGGGTCAGCTCCTCCCGCGCCCCGGGCCATTCACCCGCAAATGCAGCACTTCCTCACGGCCAGCGGCTTTGGAGTTCGGGGAGACTGGGAGACTGAGATGGGACAGTCCAAGAACAAGGCTTCTCTTCCGCCAGAATGGAGAGCCAAGCCCAGCGCCGCCTGCCCCCAGCAGCGACACAGGCTGCCAACCCACCACTACTCTAACCCATTTGCAGAACATCGCCCCGGCGCGCCGCTCTGCTGATGTGAGAACAAGGGCACTCCTGCCTGCTCACACCGATGGAGTCGGCCAGGCACAGACAAGGCAGAGAGCGCCCAGTCGCAAAATCACTCACATTCCGGTGCAAGCACCCTCGTTCTGACATCTGAATACGGTACAGCCCGTGTTCTAGAAATTCAAAGTATTTCAGACAGAACTACGTCACGTGGATGGGGAAATGCCACCCTCACGGCTCTGTCACGTCGCTCCCCGCACCCCATCCACACCAGACAAAGCGACGGGCGTCAGAATGAGGCGAATCGCCGCCTGGCTGAGCCCGGGGGCCGAGTGGCCAGATCTCGAGCCTCCTTTATGTAAGGCCTTTGCTTCCAGCTTAGGAATGAAGACAGAGGAGGTCGGGTATAAGGGGCTTATGTAGGTAAACCACAGCGACCAGCGGCTGCCGAGTCAACTCCGACTCCTGGTGACCCCACGTATGTCATAGTAGAACTGTGCTCCGTGGAGTTTTCAATGGCTGCTTTCTGGAGAAGGAGATCACCGGGCTTCTCTTCCAATGCACCTCCGGGTGGACTGAAACCTCCAACCTTCTGGTTAGCAGCCAGGCGCATGAACCGTTTGCATGACCCAGGGACTCCAGAACAGAGGAAGAACAGTTTAAAAAGGCAAAAATAAAAACAATTCAAATAATAATACCTAGCATTTTCTTAGCGCTTACAAACACCAGTAATGTGCTAACCCCGTTAAACACGGTGCATCGTCGGCAGAATTAGTCACCTATACTTAAAAAGTGGGGAAAATAGAGTCACCATTTCTAAGCCCTAGTCAGGCAGAGACTATCGTAAACTGTTTATGATCAACTACGGGACAGAGGAAGAGGCGGACGCCAACACTAACATTATCTCAGTGGCAGGACATCTAAAAGCCATTTGGTGCCATTTAGTGCCCTGGCCCTGCAGGGAAGGGGCTGGGGGGGTGAGCGATCATCCCTGGTTGTAACAACGAGTGTTCACTTTCTATCATTTCCCTTAAATCTCATAACAACACTCAAGGGTGGCATTATTATTGTCTCCGTTTTGCAGAGATTCAGCCAAACTGCCCAAGGTTACAGTCAGGGAGCCACAGAGCTGGCTCACACGCAGCAAACGAAAGAAGTCTCAGACTTTACCTGTCTTTCTTGGTGGTGTAACTGAGCAAAAGATATTTCCATGCAAAGGCAAAACCTTGATAGCACCCAATCTGTAAATTCAGAAAACATTTAAGAGCGAAATTAATAAGCAACTAACTACACTGTATCTAATCACCCAGCTCCCAGAAAAAGAAAAGGTGGGGGCGGAGGATGGGGGACCTGTTACACTATTGTTCTGGGGGCCCCTATCCAGTGTCAGGAGTTAGGAGATTAAGTCATCAGGAGGGGAGCCAGCCTCCAAGGTGGCCTCAATGGTCCTCGCCTCTGTATTCACACCCTTGGAGAGTCCCCTCACTATATCAGGGTGGTTTATGTAGCCAAGAAAACACAGAGGAAGGGATAGGGTGTGACTTCTGAGTCTAGGTCGTAAAAGACGTCATCACCCCAAGCAGCCAACAATTACTTTAAAACAAAGATGAATATGTAACGGGGCAGGGAAGCTAGATTAATGGAAATGGAACAACCATAATGGAAATAAGAATATTCACGCATTATGAAGAATGTAACCAATGTCACTGAACAACCTGTGTGGAAGTGGTTGAATTGGAACCTAAACTGCTATATAAACCTTCACCGAAAATACAATAAAATATTTTTTTTTTAAAAAAAAGACACTGTCACTTCTCCCTTGCTGTCTTAGATCACTGGCTCTGGGGGAAGCCTGCCACCATGTTGTGAGCACACTCAAGCAGCGCTATGGAGAGATCCACATGGTGAGGAGCTGAGGCCTCGCACCAACAGCCTTGTGAGCCGTCATCTTGGAGGTGGAGCCTCTAGCCCTGGTCGAGCCTTCAGATGACGCAGCCCTGGCTGACATCCTGATGGCAAACCTCAGGAGAGACCCGGAGGCTGAACACCCAGCTAAACCACTCCCAAATTCCCTCAGAAACTGTGTGAAAGTAAATGCTTGCTGTTTTTAGTCCATGTGTTTTGTGGTGATCTGTTTAGCAGCAATACATGTGTAATACAGTTGTGACTGCCTCAGATTTTGCCATGAAGGGCCAGCTATCTGTGAGGGCGAATCTAGGACAAAGGGCAGAACAGAAAAAAAAATATGGATTTCATGGAATTTCAATGTAAACATAAATGGAATATTTTCACATGGCACAGGCCACCCATTCTGTGGGCAAGGACGCAGCTGGCTTAAGACACAAGGCGGCCCCATGACACTCCAAAGTATGGTAAAACCTGCGCAAGCTGGAACCTGTGTAAGCAGAAACCTGCCAGAGAAGGAAAACTCGACTATTTCTCACTAATAGGGAGCAACAGAAAAGCGGAAAGACTGCACCCTGTCAAAGGCAGAAAACTTGCGAGACCCGGAAGAACAGGGCTGTCCTGTCCAGTTCCAGCTCTCACAGGTTTCACTGTAATTTGATAGTCACCAGAGCCCTGTTCTGTTCTTCTGCAGCCTGCGTATTTCATTACGTCTGTACAGCAACATGCTTTCTCAGCTCTATACTATGCATGTTTCTCTGTCAACACTCTATCCAATTTTAAAAGTCCTGAAGTTCCACTTCGATCGTACTGAACATCAGAGTAAGCTATAAACCATGAGAAAGACTCATGTCCAGGGAGGGTTCCCACTTACCTCAGATCCGATTTTGGCTCCGTGAAGTGCACCATGCTGTCTTCCTTCAATTATACCCAAACTACTGCCTTCTTCGTAACCTTCCTGATAGCCTTGCCCGTGAAACCTATGACAGAGAAGCAGCATGCTGGATCAAATGAACAGGAGAGAGTATCTTTTCTGGAAAAACTCTTCTCTATTACCCAGGGCCAGCATGACAAGCCAGAGTGCAATACAAAGAGATACAATTCAAGAGTCAGAAGACCCGGGTTCCAATCCCAGCTCTCCCACTTTCTAAGTCTCTCCTCTGGCAAGCTGCTATACTCCTTGACACCCACTTCCCCTTTTCTACAATGAGGAGAGTGGGCTGCATCAGTGATTCCCAAACTTGGGAGAGGACACAGGTGGAAATTTGAAAGCTATAAATTCAAGAGGTTCGTCCCTGACGTTCAGTAAGTCTGGAGTAAGGCCCAGGAATCTACTTTTCAGAACCTCCTAGGTGTGCAGTAGGTTACGGCACCAAAGTCCTATGAGCCTCTAAGCAACGACTCAGTCAAAGGCTTCAAAGACCTACAACACATACAGAGCTTCTCATCACATCTCAGCAGAAGAAGAGCAGTGAGAAGTGCCATCAGATCGCCTCAAAATGCATGATGACTGTGGTATAAAATAGGAAAAAAACAAAATCATTGCTGTGGAATTGATTCTGACTCATAGCAACCCTATAGGACCGGGTAAAACTGGCCCATAGGGTTTCCAAAGCTGTACATCATCTTTACAGAAGCAGACTGCCAAATCTTTCTCCCACGGAGGGGAATGGCTGGTGGGCTTGAACCTACAACCTTTTGGTTAGCAGCGAGCGCTTAACCACTGCAGCCCCAGGGCTTCCTGACCGTGATATACGGACTATATGACAAAGGCACTGACTTTGAGAGCTCAACAGCAGAACTGGCACCATCTCAACCTGCAGTTCCCAAAGATGACAGCAGTTTCTTGGAACACCCCATGCGGCACACACGTAATAGTTATGTGACCCTGGGGAGTGACTGTGCCTCTTCATCTGTAAAATAGGGGAAATTACAGGATCACCTCCCTAGTGGCGCTAAAAGAGGTAACTGGTGCGGACACTCAGCTCAGTGTCCGATTCACAATGAGTGCTAAATACACGTCAGCGGCTGATTGTTCAATGTTCACTCGCTTCCCTGGCTGACATTTATTGGTTGCCTCCTGTGGGCTGGGCGCTCGAAGACGGCCACAAAGCAACTCGCAGCCCGAGACGGTCCCCAGGGGCTCTGGAGGGAACGGGGATGACGTCTGACACATTTGTCAGTAGATCCATGAATACTGCCGTATGTCCTCCGATGAAGGAACAAGGGAAAGTGGCAGCTCCCAGATGGCAAAGGTCTGTCCCACCCGAGAACGGGGCGTCCCCGGAGCAAGGAGTCATCAGGCCGAGCAGATGCTGAGGGCAGCCCCTGCCGGGGGAGGCGGGCCCGGAGGAGCAGCTGGGCACGTGACGCCGACCAGGGCGAGCGCGGAATAAAAGGGAATAAATAGCCTCTCAGCCCCACACATGTTCCCAGCGGGGCACAGGGCACGAGCGGCCGCCCCGCCCCGCGGCCCGCAGCAAATCGCCGGAAAGGACACCCGACAAGGCGAGATGCGGGTCTCGGTGCTGCCCGCCACCCACCTCTCATCCGCCATCACGATGGCGTCGAACATATCCTGACTCCCAGCCATAGCGGCCTCGCGACCTGCCCCTGCCCTTTGGGCTCCTGTCACCCTGCTCTGCTGTCGCCTACACGCGGGGCTCAGCAACAACCGCTACGCTTCTGCGGAGATGAAGCCACTTCCGGAAGTGGCTGCGCGGGGCAGGCTGGGAAACGACGGCATGCGGGAGGGCCCAGAAGGGGTGGACGCGGGACAAGAATGTATGGACGTAGGCGGTGGGCGGAGCTGGGCCTGGCGAAGCCCCGCCCGGCGGCCTCCCCCTTTGCTCCGAGTGGACCGGTCCATCCAGCTGGGCGCGTCCATCCGTCGCGGGGGGGTGCTGGAAGAAACTCGAAACCTAAACTTTTGTTTTTTAAAAAATAAGCAGATGGAACCGGATTCCCAAAAGTAGCTCAGAAAGAACCACGGAAGACATTGGCAAAGTTATCAAAGAACCAGCTCTTCAGAAGGCTCTGGGCCGGAAGGGATTTGGTCGGGGGGAAGGTTAAAGGAAAGTGTTCCCTAGGTTGGAGCCAGGACGGGGAGGAGGGTCGCTCCCCCGGACGCTGGCAGCGATGACGAGAAGCCAGGCAAAGACACTGTGCACCATTTACCGCGATGCAGTTAGATTTGAAACTGCAGTATAAAATGTTGGTAATTTGAAAGTCCACAGTAATCACATTTAGTCAAACTGATTGGATTTTGCTGTTCGGTGCCCTGCGGTCGGTTCTGACTCATAGCGACCCTACGTACAACAGAACAAAACACTGCCCAGTCCTGCACCATCCTCACAATCCTTACTACGCTTGAGCCCATTGTTGCAGCCACTGTGTCAATCCATTTCGTTGAGGGTCTTCCTCTTTTTCACTGACCCGTTACTTTACCAAGCATGGTGTCCTTCTCCAGGAACTGGTCTCTCCTGATAGCATGTCCAAAGTATGTCAGACGAAGTCTTGCCATTCTCTATCCTAAGGAGCATTCCGGCTGTACTTCTTCCGGGACAGATTTGTCCGTTCTTTTGGCAGTCTGTGGTATATTCAATATTATTAGCCAACACCATAATTCAAAGGTATCAATTCTTCTTCAGTCTTCCTTATTCATTGCCCAGCTTTCACATGCGTGTAAGATGATTGAAAAAACCATGGCTTTGGTCAGGCGCACCTTAGTCTTTAAAGTGACATCTTTATTTTTTAACACTTTAAAGAGGTCTTCTGCAGCAGATTTCCCAAAGCAATACGTCCTTTGATTTCTTGAGCGCTGCTTCCATGGGTGTTGATTGTGGATCCAAGTGAAATGAAATCCTTGACAACTTCAATCTTTTCTCCATTTATCAGATGCTGCTTATGGGTTCCGTTGTGAGGATTTTTGTTTTCTTTATGCTAAGGTGTAATCCACACTGAGGGCTATGGTCTTTGATCTTCATCAGTAAGCGCTTCAAGTCCTCTTCACATTCAGTAAGCAAGGTTATGTCATCTGCATATCACAGGTTGTTAATGAGTCTTCCTCCAATCTTGATGCCCCGTTCTTCTTCATACAGTCCAGCTTCTCCGATTATTTGCTCAGCATACTGATTGAATAAGTATGGTGAAAGGATACAACTCTGACACACCTTTCCTGACTTTAAACCACACAGTATCCCCTTGTTCTGTTCTAATGACTGCCTCTTGATCTACGTACAGGTTCCTCATGAGTACAATTAAGTGTTCTGGAATTCCCATTCTTCGCAACGCTATCCATATTTTGTTATGATCCACACAGTCGAATGCCTTTGCATAACCAATAAAACACAGGTAATTCTCTGCTTTCAGCCAGGATCCATCTGACATCAGCAATAATATCCCTTGTTCCATGTTTTCTCTGAATCCGGCTTGAATTTCTGGCAGTTCCCTGTCAATGTACTGCTGCAACCACTTTTGAATGATCTTCATCAAAATTTTACTTGTGTAATTGGGGAAAAGACAGTCTCTTTAACAAACAGTGCTGGCATAACTGGATCTCCATCTGCAAAAAAATGAAACAAGACCCATACCTCAAACCATGCACAAAAACTAACTCAAAATGGATCAAAGACCTAAATATAAAATCTAAAATGATAAAGATCATGGAAGAAAAAATAGGGACAACTCTAGGAGCCCTAATACGTGGCAGAAACAGAATATAAAACATAAGTAACAATGCACAAACACCAGAAGAGAAACTAGATAACCAGGAGCTCCTAAAAATCAAACACTTATGTCATCAAAAGACTTCACCAAAAGAGTAAAAAGACAGCCTACAGACTGGGAAAAAAATTTTGCCTACAACAAATCCGATCAGCATTTAATCTCTAAAAGCTACAAGATACTGCAAACCCTCAACAATAAAAAGAAACCCAATTACAAAATGGGCAAAGGATATGAACAGGCACTTCACCAAAGAAGACATTCAGACAGCTAACAGACACATGAGGAAATGCTCAAGGTCATTAGCCATCAGAGAAATGCAAATCAAAACTACAATGAGATACCATCGTACCCCAACAAGACGAGCATTAATCCAAAAAACACAAAATAATAAATGTTGGAGAGGTTGTGGAGAAACTCGAACACTTATACACTCTTGGTGGGAATGTAAAATGGTACAACCACTCTGGAAATATGTTTGGCACTTCCTTAAAAAGCTAGAAATACAAGTACCATACGATCCACCTATCCCACTCCTTGGAATATATCCTAGAGAAATCAGATCCGTCACACGAATAGATATATGCACACCCATGTTCATTGCAGCACAGTTCACGCTAGCAAAAAGATGGAAACAACCTGCGTGCCCATCAACAGACGAATGGAAAAACAAATTATGATATATTCACATAATGGAATACTACGCAACAATAAAGAACAACAAGGAATCCGTGAAACATCTTATAACATAGAGGAATCTGGAAGGCATTATGCTGAGTGAAATAAGTCAGTCACAAAAGGACAAATATTGCATGAGACCACTATTAGAAGAACTCAGGAAAAAGGTTTAAACACAGAAGAAAACATTCTTTGATGGTTACCAGGGTGAGGAAGGAGGGAGCGGGTATTCACTAAGTAGATAGTAGACAAGAATTATCTTAGGTGAAGGGAAGGACAACACACACTACAGGGGAAGTCAGCCCAACTGGACTAAACCAAATGCTAAGAAGTTTCCTGAATACAACCAAACACTTTGAGGGACAGAGTAGCGTTTGGGGTGGCGGTGGTCTGGAGACCATGATTTCAGGGGACATCTAGGTCAATTGGCATAACAAAGTTTATTAAGAAAATGTTCTACATCCCACTTTGGTGAGTGGCATCTGGGGTCTTAAAAGCCCGCGAGTGACCATCTAAGATGCATCAATTGGTCCCAACTCACCAGGAGTAAAGGAGAATGAAGAACACAAAAGACACGAGGAAAATATTAGCCCATGAGACAGAAAGGGCCACATAAACCAGAGACTTCATCAGCCTGAGACCAGAAGAGCTAGATGGTGCCGGCTACCACCAATGACCGCCCTGACAGGGAACACAACAGAGAGTCCCTGATGGAGCAGGAGAAAAGTGGAGTGGAGAACTCAAATTCTAATAAAAAGACCAAACTTAATGGTTTGATTGAGATTGGAGGGACCCCGGAAGATATGACCCCTGTACTCTCTGTTGGGCTAGAGCTGAAACCATTCCCGAGGCCAACTCTTCAGACAAAGATTAGACTGGACTATGGGACATAAAGTGATACTCGTGAGGAGTGTGCTTCTTAGCTCAAGTAGATACATGAGACTAAATAGGCACCTCCTGTCTGGAGGTGAGATGAGAAGGCAGAAAGGGTCAGGAGCTGGTTGAATGGACATGGGAATTCAGGAGTGGAAAGGAGGGGTGTGCTGTCACAGTACAGGAAGAGCAACTGGGGTCACATAGCAATGGGTGTATAAATTTTTGTATGAGAAAGTGACTTGAATTGTAAACGTTCACTTAAAGTACAATAAAAAAATTTTACTTGTGTGTGATATTAATGATATTGTTCGATAATTTTCACATTCTATTGGATCACCTTTCTTTCGAATAGGCATAAATATGAATCTCTTCCAGTCAGTTGGCCAGGTTGCTGTCTTCCTAATTTATTGACATACACCAGTGAGTACCTCCAGTGCTGCATCCATTTGTGAAACATCTCAATTGGTATTCCTTCAGTTCCAGGAATTGGAATTGTTTTTCGCCAGTGTCTTCAGTACAGCTTGGACTTCTTCCTTCAGTACCATCAGTTCTTGATCATATGCTATCTCCTGAAATGGTTAAACGTCAACCAATTCTTTTTGGTGCAGTGACTCTGTATATTCCTTCCATCTTTTATGCTTTCTTCATTGTTCAGTATTTTGCTCATAGAATCCTACACTATTGCAACTCGAGGCTTGAATTTTGTCTCCAGTTCTTTCAGCTTGAGAAATGCTGAGTGTATTCTTCCCTTTTGGTTTTCTAACTCCAGGTCTTTGCACATGTCACTAGTGGGGATATATGCCATTAAAATATGGATGTATAAAGTCCTCTGTGCTGCACAGCATATTGAGACTTGTCCCCAACATGTTGAGACTTGTCACGACTTGTTTTTCCAAACCCGTTACTGATTAGCTTGTTTACCTGAATTCCTCCTCCCTTGCCCGAAACTTATTGTTATTCACCCAAAGCCCATTGTTCTGTTATTTGCTTCACTGTTTGCTGTATTGACTATAAAATAAACTCCTAGGACTGAAGCTGGGTTCGACTCCTCAGAGTGACCCTCCTGGCCCCACTTCTCTGTAAGAGTGGTGGCATTGGTTATTGTCTCCGCCACCCTGACAACTGTCGCCGCTGCAACATCACCATAATACTTTGTCTTCTGGAGCCTCCCTTTGAAATCTCTGTTCAGCTCTTTTAGTTCATTTCTTCCTTTTGCTTTAGCTACTCAATGTTCAAGAGCAAGTTTCAGAGTCTCTTCTGACATCCAGTTTGGTCTTTTCCTTCTTTCCTGTCTTTTTAATGACCTTCTGCTTTCTTCATGTATGATGTCCTTGATGTCATTGCACAACTTGTCTGGTCTTCGGTCATTAGTGTTCAGTGCATCAGATCTATTCTTGAGATGGTCT